TATATATATATATATATATATATATATATATATATATATTCCAGGAGATTCCTAAAGAGTTGTTATGGCTTGCCAATTCTATAACCTGAATACATTTAAAATTCAAAAAACAAATTCCTGATAAATGTTGATTCTCTCAGTAAATACAATTTACAGTTTCATGGGGCATCAATATTATTTTGTACTAAAAAAACAAATGCAAAAAATAAAATAATGTTCTGGGTTTGAAGGCACTACAGAAAGGACAATGTAAATCCCTGGAGTCTTCTGCGGTGAAATGGCCATATCTCAGGTTTTGTATATGGTGACAGAAAATCTCCCTCATTTTTTCTAGATTTTTAGATTCTGTTTCTGTACATTCAGGTAGATGTTGTAATCCTTGAGGTGAGAAAAAGGAAAGACCTGAAAGATAATTGCTATTGCTTAGGACAAATAAACATGTTAACTCTTTAATTTCTGTTCCAGCTTTAACAGAGCTAAACAGATAAGCTTTTTCCCGTGTCTGTTCTTTGGAAAGGAACTGAGTAAAGCACTAAGATTATTTGTTTTATTACAACCAAATCAGCAAAGTGTTGATTTTGAACCAACTTCCTACCGAGTCCTTTCTCAAAATATTTGCTCTAATGGGGCTTCACCTGAACTATAAAGTTACTAGTTTCCCACAAGTAAATTTCATAACGTTCATTTTTGCAGACATGAAATCGGAGATAATACTATTCCCAGGAGCTAATACTTATACTGTTATATTGCAGATCAATACTACAGCAGAATTGTTAACAAATCGTGGTGTGATTCATGAGTTTATGGGTCAGCAACAAAATGCAATGAGAGACTATCAAGCAGCAATTTCTTTAAACCCCACGTACTCACTGGCTTACTTTAACGCAGGAAATATCTACTTTCACCACAGGCAGTTTTCCCAGGTAATGTGAAGCATTTTCTTTTTACTCTAAATGCTTTCTTTGCTATATATAGTTTTAAAATTCAGTCCTTAGATTCTAGGCTAATCATTCATTAGCTCTTCTTTAAAAACGTTCTCCTTCATAAGAACGTTTATAATTATTTTTTAAATATTTAACCTCTATGGATTTATTCTCTCATTGTCCCCAATCATTTAACACGTGTCCAGCAAACATTATTTTGGACTTACCCAATTGTCAGCAATTGTCTTGCTAGTCATTCTTTGTCCATCTTTTTGTCAGAAGCTTAATTCATTTATTGTCACCCTTTCATTTCTATTGTGATAAATTATTAAGGTTATGCCTTTTCCCCAAGTACTGCTTTTAACAGTATCCCATATATTTTGGTCTTTGAAGTTTTAATTTTTGTTTTCCCCAAATTTTATACCTGTAATTTTATTTCCCCTTTGACTCAAGAATAAATTAATAAGGCATTTGAAATGTCCAGGTAGAAGGACTTTTATATTTTCTAATTTTGGTATTTATTGAGTTTTAATGTTGGTCTAATATATGACGACTTTTGAAAAATATTCCAGGGTTCTTTTCAAAAAAGTTTCTGCTGTCAAAATGTAAAGTTAAAGTATATGTATAAGATCTACCTTATTAATTATATTTTTAATTAGTCAATATTCTTTTTTTTTTTTAATTTGGTTGATCTTGGACTGTGAAAGGTTTAAGTATCCTATCATTGGTTTGGTTCTATATAGTTTTCTTTATATTTCTTGTAATTTCTGCTTTATGAAAATTGCTACTGCATTGTTTCATTTATAGATATTCATACATATTACATATGCACTATATATTGTAGCCTTCAGCCTTATAAATGCCCTTTGTTTCTTTAAGGCTCTTTGGAATAAATTTTACTTGATCTGATATGAAGATTGTAACCTCTGATTCCATTGGGTTTGCTTTTGCCTGGTATTCCATTGCCCTTCCTTTTATTTTCAACATTTAGAATCCTTTGTTTTAGATATGTCTCTCTTATGTACGATAGAGTTGGATTTTGCTTTAAAAGCCAATTTGAAAATATTAATCTTTCAATGGGTGGGTTAAGGCCATTTACATTTTGGCATAATATGTTTGCTCTTAGTTCTGTTATGTCGTATTTTTATTTTCATGTATTTTAAAAGAATTTTGGTCTGCAGTCTGTTTAATTGTTTCCCCCAGTTTTTCTGATATTGAGGAAAATTTACAGTTTTGCTCTAGTGGCTACCTTTATAAAAATACTTTTATACCCGTATTTCCTTGTGTTTTTAGTTTCTTTACTATAAACATTAAATACCCTCCTACTTATCCATTCAATTTTTTAAATTTAAATTTTTTATCTTTATTGTTGAAAGTATTACAGATGTCCCCTTTTTCCCCTCATTGATCCCCTCCACCCTGCATCCACCCCATCCCCAGTCCTTCCCCATACCAGTGTCTGTGTCCATGGGTTATGTTTATGAACGTATACGTTCTTTGATTAATCTCTCCCCACCTACTCCCCATTCCCCACCTTCCCTNGGATCTCCTTCCCTCTGAGATCCCTCAGTCAGTTCCATGCTTCTGTGTCTCTGGATCTATTTTGTTCATCAGTTTATTTTGTGTATTACATTCCACATATGAATGAGATCATATGCCACTTGTCTTTCTCTGACTGGCTTGTTTCACTTAGCATAATACTCTCCAGTTCCCTCCATGCTGCCCCAAAGGATAGGAGATCCTTCCTTTTTATAGCTGCATAGTATTACATGGTGTAAATGTACCACAGTTTTTTTATCCACTCATCTACTGATGGGCACTTGGGTTGTTTCCAGATCTTAGCTATTGTACATTGCACTGCTATTAATTTTGAAGTCTATTTGAACTGATATGAGTATTGCTACCCCAGCTTTTTTTTCATTTCCATTTGCACGGAAATTTTTTTTCCATCCCTTCACTCTCATCTTGTGTTAGTCTTTTCTTTTGAGGTGGGTCTCTAGTAGACAGCATATATTTGTGTCATGTTTTCTTATACATTCAGCCATCCTATGTCATTTTATTGGAGCATTTAATCCATTTGCCTTTAAGGTTATAATTGATAGATATCTACTGTCATTTTAATTTTTTATGCCTATGTTTCTCTCTCTATATATTTCTACTTCTAATTACAGCAGTCCCTTTAACATTTTCTGCAATGCTGGTTTGGTGGTCACAAACTCCTTTAGCCTTTTTTTTGCCTGGCAAGCTCTTTATTTCACCATCTATTTTGAATGATAGCCTTGCTGGATACAGTAGTCTTGGTTTCAGATCCTTGCTTTTCATTACTTTGAATACTTCATGCCATTCCCTTCTGGACTGTAGAGTTTCTGATGAGAAGTCAGCTGACAGCCTTATAGGAGCTCCTTTGTTGGTAACAGATTGCTTTTCTCTAGTTGTCTTTAAGATTCTCTCTTTGTCTTGAATTCTTCGCATTTTAGTTATGATGTGTCTGGGCATAGGCCTCTTTGGATTCTTCTTGCTTGGGACTCTCTGTCCCTCCTGAACTTGTGTGACTTTTTCCCTGACCAGGTCAGGGAAGTTTTCTGCCATTATTTCTTCAAACAGGTTCTCTAACCCTTGCTTACTTTTGACCTCTTCTGGAACTCCTATAATGTGAATATTGTTACATTTCACATTGTCCCACAGCTCCCTTAGACTGTCCTGTTTTTCAATTGTTTTTTCTTTTTGGATCTCTGATTGAGTGATTTTTTCTACCCTATCTTCTAATTCTCTGATCCGATTCTCAGCTTCCTGTAATCTACTGTTTATTCCTTCCAATGTAGTCTTTATTTCTGCTATCTCATCCTTAATTTCCTTCATAGTTTCCCTATCATTTTTCATGCTGTTGAGCATCCTTACAATCAGTATTCTGAACTCTATATCTGATAGATTGCTTATCTCCCGTTTTATTTAGCTCTATTTCTGGAGATTTTCCTTATTCTTTCATTTGGGGCTTGTTCCCCCCCTCCCCCCATTTTCGTTGTCTGTTTGAGTTTGTTTCTATGTAATAGGTCGATCTGCTAGGACTCTCAGTCTTTTTAGACAGTCTCTGGTGCAGGCCAATGTCAGACACAGTTTGTCACTGGCCCTGAGTACCTTGTTTGGAGCTATCAACAACCCTCGGCTTGAGGTCTCCTCTGCTGGGGTTGGGTGAAGTTGGACAGGACCAAGATGCACACCAAAGTCTGCTTTTCCAAAGCCAGGGTCCAGAAGCATATCAGGCAAAGACTGAAAGCACTCTGAGTTCTGCCTCTGCCTTCAGGCTCATTATTCTGATTCTCTTGGTGAGCTTCAGGCTGTAGAAACTCCACAGGGTAGGGTGAGAGATTTTCCAGCAGGATAGGGCAATTGCTTCCCCCCTCAGGCAAAAGCAGCAAATTGTCTCCCTATGAAAGATGTCCTCTGCAGTATGGGGGAATTACTAGGCACAAGGATCCAGAGGGATGCCTTCTGATCTCAATCTCCAGATCCCACAATCCTAGATTCTCCTCACACAGCTCTAGTCCACTCTGCCCTCCCTCTGCCAGAGCCCAAGGTGAGTAGCTGCACATGAAACTTTGTGCTATGGCTCTTTAAGAAGGTGCCTGCATTTCCAGCCATCTCTCCCTGGCAGACAAGAACGCTGCTGCTTTTCACAGCCAGTTGTTATGTGGGCACCTTTCTTAGTTTTGGTGCTCTTGGATGGGGAGTCCAGCCTAGGTATTAGGCCCCAGAGTCCTGAGTGGGAACCCCCTACAGCTGAGATATCCCTCCAGACCTTCAGCTGCTGCCTGTGGGAGCCCCGCCAGCCCTCTCACCCTTCTGCACTTCTTACCAGATTCTGTGTGGTCTCCACTTTTCCTCCTTGGTTATGAGGTTGCTCTCCAGCTTGTCTTCAGTTGCAGTGGATTATTCAGGATGGTTTTTCTATATTTTAGTTGTAATTCCAGTTTGGTCCAGGGAGAGTGTCAGTGTAGCTTCCACTCAGTCCACCACCATCTTTAATCCTCATAGTATTCTCTTTTAAATTTTTTCTATTTGTATTCTTAAATATGCTTGAGCTTATTGTATCAGCTTACTTTCCATGTCTGTCTCTTTTATCCCATTTTGTAGTGAATTTCATGATTCTTATACTGCCAGAGGATTTAATATTTGCATACTATTTTGTTACTCTTATTTCAAATTTTCATCTTAGTTTGCCAGTTAAGTATATTCAATTCTCATCACCAGGCTTTTTGCCAGTTTCTTTCCCAACCAACCATTTCTTGGTTGTCTGAAATTAGTCCTTTAGTAGAGTCCTTAGAAAGGGCTCCTGAAAACAGTACTCTTTGAATTTTTTCTTGTTTATCACTATTTGCTTGTAGACTTTACATCTTAAGGGGGCATGTCTGGCTTTTAAATCCTTGGCTCTTTTCTTTCCTTGAGTGTCTTGTGTTGTTTCATTGTTTTTGGTTTTGTATGTTGATGTCAAGAAGCTGGATGCAAATTCGATTTTTGCTATTTGTGACTTCTTTTTGTTAGGATAACCAAAGATTTGTTTTTAAATATAAAGTTCTACCAACACCTGTCTTAGAGTTGACCCCTGGAGTCAAAGTTAACAAGTACACAATGTGTGTTTTCAATATGTAGATTTCAGAAAAGTTTTGTTGAATTCAGTGGAAATTTTTTTCTGTTTCATAGTTTTGATTTTTTTCATTGGGAATATTCACTACATATATGGCGGTCCCCAAAAATGTACACACACTTTAACAGGTGATAAGTCGCTTAATTTTGAAAATGAACTGTATGTTAATAAACACCAACTTTTTTTTTTTTTAAACATATCTTTATTGATTTCAGAGAGAGGAAAAGAGGGGGAGAGAGAGATAGAAACATCAATGACGAGAGAGTCATTGATCGGCTGCAGCCCGCAACCCGGGCATATGCCCTGACCAGGAATCGAACCCCGATCTTCTGGATCCTAGGTGGATGCTCAACCGCTG